CTCTTTACATTTACAATAGGAGGTCCCCATACACATCATCATATGTTCATGTAATAGAACTACACAAAGCTTAATGTTCCTTTTTAGGCAAATGTCCCCAGTAAACAAAAATTGCCTTGGGGTTATTAGACTTGTGTGAGGTTGTCAAGAATCTTTCTGGGTGAAGTGGGGCAAAATCTTCTCCATAAACAAACTAGGGTGTACTTGAAGTTTTCTTCACTTTGAAAAATAGCTCAGAGTAGGATCTCAATAGCTGGACAGTTTGCACAGGGATTGCATTTTCATTTCTGTTCACTTACGCACAACTAACTCTTCAGGATCACACCTAATACAAAGGTTCAGGTCTATGTGCAACATTTGCTCTCCTCACCACCTCAGATTGTCTTTATTTTCTCTTTTCCTTTCCCCCCACCTTTTCTCTGTTGCATTGAAGGACAGCACTTCACAACTTGACTTTTCTTTATCTTGATTTTATGTCTTACACCATCAACCTCTCTGGTACATTTCTGTTCTCATGGGACTTTCTGCTTTGGCAGTCATTCAGCGAGAAAGGGAGTGGTATGAAACCACAGGAGTGACTAAGAAAAATCAGAGAAATCAAAGGTCATTCTATAGTCAGTGAGAAATGCTAAAAAGAATGCTGGGCTGAAATCAGAAAACCTGGAGATCCATTCTGGCACCAAAACTTACCCGGTGGGCTAGGATCAGGATACCTCTTGAGTATTTCTGTGTCCCCCTCTATATAATTAGGATTTTAGTACTGACTATGTCTACCTGATAACATCACATCAGAGTGCAAGAGAGATTTATGTCTCATTAGTTTCTAAATTGTGTATCTCTGTATTCATGTGTGTGTGGTTGTTGATGATAGACACCCCGCTGCAATAAAAGACATTCACACATACCCACTGTCTCCAACCTTCTGATTACTCTTGTCTGGACTGGACTAACTCCTGGATATTAGGGATTTCATTTACCAAAAAACGAAATCCTACCATCTCTAGTATAACCTGTACAGTTGCTTGCCTTTATAGAACTTCTCCCAGCCTGCTTTATTGACAGTCTGATGTTGGCCACGATCTCCTGCTCAACCCAGAGTCACCACCCACACCTCCAGCTATCGTCTAGTGAGCCTCTGAATTGAACTAGAATTGAGTTGAGGTGAGGATGCTTTGAAGTCAGATTAACCTGGGTTCAAATACTGGCACTAATAATGAAATTTCTATGACACCTTGAACTTGACTCGTCATTTAATTTCTCTGAGGCCTCATTTCCTAATTTATATTGTGAAGACACTACTACCAACAGTACAGTGTACTAACGAGGAATGAAAGAGATGATACATGGTCATAGAATCTGGCCTGTTCCTTACAGTTAGAATGGTGTATTTAATTTGCCAGGTGTCCTGATTACAGTTAGAATGGTGTATTTAATTTGCCAGGTGTCCTGATTACAGTTAGAATGGTGTATTTAATTTGCCAGGTGTCCTGTACAGAGTACTACAAACTGACCAACTTAAAAACAGACATTTATTGTCTCACAGTTCCTGAGGCGAGAAGTCTGAGATCAAGGAGGAGGCAGGACCATGTTCTCTCTGAAAGCTCTGGGGAAAGGTCTATTCAAATTCTCTCCCCTAGCATTTGGTCATTTTGTGGTCATATGCTGGTGACAGCATAACACCAATCTTTACATAGAGTTCTTCCTGTGGATGTCTGTATGGCCTAAAGTCTCCTTTACATAAAAACCCCACTCATATTGGATTAGGGGCTAACCCTACTCCAGCAAGACCTCATCTGAACTAATCATAGCTACAACAACCCTATTTCCAAATAAAGTCACATTCTGAGGTACTAGGAGTTAGGACTTCAACGTGTGAATTTTATTTATTTATTATTTATGTATTTATTTTTGAGACAGAATCTCAAGCTGTCACTCTGGGTAGAGTGCTGCGGCATCACAGCTCACAACAACCTCAAACTCTTGGGCTTAAGCTATTTATTCTTTTGCCTCAGCTTCCCAAGTAGCTGGGACTATAGGAATCTGCCAAAATGCCTGGCTTTTTTTTTTTTTAAGTTGTAGTTGTCATTGTTGTTTGGTATGCCTGGGCTGGATTTGAACCCACCATCTCCAGTGTATGTGGCTGGCACCCTAGCTGCTTGAGCTACAGGCGCCAAGCCCAACATGTGAATTTTAGAGGAATATGTTCAGCCCATAACAAATGGCACAGGAAAGTTTTGAGGGCCTGAAGATTTGGTAAAGTTCATACAGGAGCTGAAAGTTCAGAAAATCCATGCAGTGTGTCATACCTAATTGTTAAGTCAACTTTTTCAATAAATCTTAGGTTTTTTAAGAGACTATATGAATTGCCCAAATATCTACCATAATCTGCCATTCCATTTTGGCTGCAGTGACCTGTATTTCCTCAAAAAATGTAGAAAATAGTGTTGGCCTCTAGCCCCTAGAAGCTTATAATCAAAAAATTATACCAACAACACCACCACCAGAAATGTTAAAATATAAACAAATGCTGCTCAATAAAGATATAACCAAAATGGTGTTAATATAGAGTTGGCTCTTGTTGCCTTAAGAATTTAATTAGGACAGGGTGGTATCTGTGGCTCAAAGGAGTAGGGCATTGGCTTCATATACTGGAGGTGGGGGGTTCAAACTCAGCCCTGGCCAAAAACTGAAGAAAAAAAAAAGAAAGAAAGAAAAAGAATGTAATTAGGACAAGCGCTAAACAAAAAAATCATACTAGTTTCATAAAAACAGGCCTCCTGTCTTTGCAGAGAGACAACATGGGAAGCTATGAGAAGGAGGTTAAACAGCTAAGATGACCTGGCCTCCTTTAAGTGAGATATTAATTCCACTGAGCAACAAAGTCTAAAGCTTCAAATCCTCTTTTAATGATTCTTTGCCTTGAAAAATTAAGTCTGGTTTTAAATTTTCATTATTTCAAATAATGTCGATGTATTGTTTCCTAGAATTATTTGGTGGTCTCAATCCAATTGAGAATAAATATTGATAAGGGAAAGAACCCATGCCATTATTGGAAATTTTCTCAGAGAAATAAATGTCAGTATTTCTTTCCAAAGTAAGTTCTCCAAAATAATCAACTCAGTAAGGAAATCACTATTTCTTGAATACTTACTAAGTATAAACTATGCCAGATATTGCTTGTGATACAAAAGGAGGGAAATGATATTTTTAACTTTATAAATAATTGAAATACAGATAAATGGTACAAGCATACATATACATGTTTATATACTGTCTTTACCGTATTGTGGATTAATTCTACATGTTACCTCTGTCACTGAAAAAGTAGCCAAATTATTGGCCTCCATCACTAATCTATTGTCTTGTGAGTTCCTTGATAGAAGGAATTACATCTTCTCCATATCCAATTTCTTTTTTAAAGATGAAAAAAGAAAAATTAAAGGGACAAGATACATTAAAAAAAAAAAGAACAGTTTTATTATAGCCAAGAGCTAAAAGTGGTATCCATTCCAAAAACGGATATTAAGAATTAACCTGATATTTGGGTTATACTCTCCTAAAAATAAAAAATTTTAAAGAGAATCCTGAGCCGCTGAAGTAAAATATACTTTGTGGTTTGTGCTCATAGCTCTGAATAGACTTATCAAAGATCCACTGGCACAATAATTAGGCCTAATAGATGCTTAATTATTTTTCAATTAAATGAGCAAATAATTTTAAAAAGAATGGATTCATTAATTCTGTTAAGGAACTTGGAGAAAAGTTGAATTTCACATACCTCCTCTAGGTGGCAAGCTCATACTTCCTATGTATTGCATTTCCTGTCTCCTTGAGAATTGACTCACGAAAACTGCTCTGAAAAAAACCCATACTAACTGGATTTTTAAAAACCCAGTTTTTTTTAAAAAACCCATACTAACTGGGTTTTAAAAAACCCAGTTTTTTTTTAAAAAACCCATACTAACTGGGTTTTTTTCAGTCCAGTTTTCGTGAGTCAATTCTCAAGGAGACAGGAAATGCAATACATAGAAAGTATGAGCTTAAAATGTTCTTCTTAGCAAAGTGTCACAGGAATGGAAGAAAAAGTATCCAATGTACACAGCCCTTCTATGAAACTAATATATACTTCTCAAATGAAAGAAACAACTTAATTCTAGCCCAAGAATATGGGGAGGGGGTGGGGAAGGGGAGGGGAGAAGGGTGGCTGGGTGGTGGGAGGGTAACCGGAAAGATCACCTATATTTCTGTCTAACAAGGGTACAAATGATCTTTTCTAGAACTAGAATGTAAATGTTTTGATACAATGTCTATGCAAATGACATGAAATTTATGTGAACCAGCTTGATGAAAGTATTTCAAAATGTATATGAAAACACTACACTGTACCCCATGTTTGCATTAATGTAATAATAATAAAAAAAAAGAAAAGAAAAAAACCCATAGTTTTATGTCTGTTATTGTGTAGAAGTATGCAACTATAAAAAATACTTTCTCTCAAAAATTCTCCCTTCACTTTTGTATCTGTAAGCTTCTTGTCAAGAAAATTCTTTAAAGTCATTATGAAATATGATTGTGTAAGTACTATAAAGAAATAGAATTGTGCAAGAGAACTTGCAAAGCACTTGTGCAAGATTGCTACGAGTACTCTCAGTTTTTCATGGCCTACCCTTAGGAAAACATTGCTTTAACTGAAGTTTATTATTATACTCCTAAGGTATTCATTTTCCCCTAAATAAGAAAATAAATTCTACTAAGCATTTTAAATTGTATTTGTTTATTTAAACTAAACCCAAGATATGTATTTTTCCAGTTTCATTGTGACAGCCACAGATAAAATTGAGTAAGACTTAAATGTATTTTGAATTAAGTATAGAACAATCAAATGAGATAAATGATTCCAAATATGTGGCTTTAATTTCCCTTCAAACCAGGAGATGAGTTCCCTGAGTGATTTAAATAATGTCCCCCAGTCTCCACTTCCCTTTGTGGTGACATGGTCCACATTCTCTGATGCAGGAAATATGACTGGAAATGTCTTGGAGTGTCATGAAAGCTAAAGAGAAAAGCTAAAATTAATCTAAGAGCACACCAAACAGGATCGGCAAGACCCGAAGATGTCTGTCCTGTTTCTAAAAGTAAGGGAAGGAGATAAGCAAAAAGAACAATGATATTTTATAACCCAAGAGAAATTAAATGTGTGTAAACATATTCTTGTTGAAACTAGAACCCTGTAGATTGCGCAAACCAGGTAGAGTCCTGCCAAAACATGCCAGGATAAAGTCACCCAGCATCAGGGCATGGCTAGTGATAGAAGTGAAGTTAACATAGGAATACCACAGAGGATTCCTGAACTTGAGCAGCAGCTACTGAATTCTACTATACAACAAATGTACCGACAGTACTGTATAATATATACTCAAAACCCGTATTTCTTTATTCCACACAAATAGTTGAAAGCAAGTTTTCACACACAGAAATCCAAACGAGAATTCCTAGCTTATTTATGATTATTTCTCTAACACACACTTCTTGGCCGACCACTCTGGGCCAGGCCTTGTAATAGAAGCATTGAATAATACAGAGATGAATAAGGCACAGTCCCTGCCCTCAAAGGAGTGGAAAGTCAGACATGTACACAAATAATTACATGAAAGTAATAAAAGGGGAAGGGGGGAAAGAAAGGCACAAAGCCAAATTGGCACAGTGATGTTGGGGGAGCCACTTCCTAATCCCATCTGGCGATGAATCAGTGCCAACTCATTTTGCTGGATTTGAAATTAAACCTACACAACTCAGTTTCACACACAGGTAAGTCATGGAAATAGACACAAGGTATATATGAACATTTATAATACCTCCCTAAATGTATTTTAGGCTTGTTTCAAAAGATCATTCTCAAAGGAAGCCAGAGAAGTTACAGTAGAAAACACCACCTATTAAAAGGATTTGTGACTCCTAACTTTGTTATAATGAGGCAACTATAAACCCTTTTTAGGTAAACTAAGAAACAAGCTAAATATACATTAACTTATAGGATATGTCATAATTTTTTTTTAAATGAAATAGCTCTAGATACATCTCCATATGCATGGGGGAGGGTGGAATATCCAGGAAGAAACAATTTAGACTATAGACTAATCTTATTTCATACAACTTAAATGCTATTATTTCTCCAGAATTATAATGATTTAAAGTGAATATACTTTTTCCTTGGATTGGCTGTTTTATTTACCAAAAAAAAAAAAAAATGTGCCTTGTAGTATTATGTAAATGTGTAATATGTGAAGACTTTTAATATTATCCCTAAGTATTACTGATTCTTTTAGGCTTTTTCTCCGTTTTTTGCCACTTTGGCAAGCATTATCTTCAGGTTGGAAGCCTTCAATCTCATTAGCCCTTGCACACTATAATTTTAATACAAGAAGAGAAAAGTGAATTTTGACCCAACTTTTGTTATTAAATGACTTTTTTGCCCCATACCAGCACAAGGCAGATCTGTTATCATTTGTCTTTACTTATCATTATAAGAAAGAAGAGGGAAGGGGAAGAATGAGGAAGAGGCACAGGAGACAGAGGAAAGACCGACTCTCCCTTCCAATAGCAGGAGTGGAAAGTTGTCTGTTAACTGTAGCCCTTACCTTTATAGTGAAGTCATCACCTCAGCCCTTACATTTAGAGTTAAGGCCTTGTTCTAGGTCTTCTCCTTCAGGGCAATTGGCACAATTTCCTCCTTGAGCCCAAAAAAAAAAAAAAAAAATCTCTTTAAGTCCATGTCTATAGTGATTCAAGACCCTCAGATATGATCATGGCCTTTTCCCCTTCTAGGAGAATCTGCAATGATAGAAAGCCAGAGCTTACTTCTATACCAAACTCATCTCTAGAAATGAGGCAGAATGACACAAAGAGAAAGCTAGTGTGGTATATGCAGGATGTGGGGCTCAGGCCAGCAGCTCAAATCAGCCAGGGAGGGACTTTTCACAAAGAAGACCAAGACACATATACAGAAAAGCAGCCCCTGCACTGGTGTCAACATTCTATAAGCAAAACAAAGTGCATCCAGCCTCTTCTGGTGCCACAGACCAAACTAGACACACCCAGACTTTCCCACCCACAGGCCACTAGGGCTGGTCTGTATTCAAGTCAATAGAAGCTTATCATTTACTATGGAGAAAGATGAGAACCATGTTTGATGCAATCAATATATTCACAATCACTCAACAAGGAAAATGAAGAAGTAACACAAACACATGCACCCATATCTCTAAAATTCTTTTGAAAAGGACTTGAGGTAGAGAGACAAGAACTGAGAGAGAATGGTATTAATTCAATGAGTATAAAACAAGCACCAGCAATCTCTAAGTAATTTTCTAGTTCCAGCAGAACTAGAACATCAGCAATGAACCACCCAAACAGTTCCAGCTGCCCTCACTGGTATTTATTGATTTACTGTAAATACTCAGTTAGACAACCAACAACCTAAGAACACTAAGAGAAATTTTTTTAAATAATGCATAATGATGATAATTATGATAGTTGTATTTATTAGGTACCCATTAAGTGCCAGACAGTTTGCTTATTTTAGCCACAGAGCTTAATCTTCATAACAGTCTTGTGAAGTAAGTTTTATTATCTTATTATTAAGATTAAGTTTTATGCCTTATTATTAAGAAACTACCTTAACGCTAAATTAAAATGCATTCTCAAGAATACCCAGCTAGAATAGCAGAGCTATAACCAAACTCTAGTTGAACTCCTTCCACTACGCCATAGCAAACTATGATCCTTTTGTCAAATCTGCCTTGCTGCCTGATTTTTATTTTAAAAAGTTATATTAGAACACAAATATTCACTCACATATTGTTACGGCTGCTACCAAGCTACAGCAACAGAGTTGAGTGCTTGTGACAGAAACCCCATGGCTGACAAAGGCAAAGCAATATACTACCTGGCCCTCTACACACACACAAAAGTGTGCTAACCTCTGCACTGCAGTGTGCCAGTAAAGATTTGTAAAAGGTTGAGTATAATAAGTTTTTTCAGAGAATTTTGAAATTCTAAGAAATGGAAGTTCACGACAATCAAGTTCTTTGTCAACCGATACCCTAAGACATTTTGCCCATGTGTAGAGCTTTTTACCATTCCCAAAAACCTGAGCAGGAAAAAGAATATTTTTTGTTTCATAATATAAGAATTTGAATTTTACTGGCTAATTCCTTTATCTCCTCCACCATCCTACCTCCAGATTCTTGTCTCAGTTTCTCCCATAATGTCTCACCAAAGTAGGCCCCTCTGCGAGAACGTCAGAGAAGGACACAGTGGAAACGTCTTGCTACAGATCCATGGACCTTGGATTCCATTTTTAGACTCTGGCCACCTGTCGCACAGTCACTCTGAAGAGAGGACATGCCAAGTCTCAAATTTTATTCAGTTTGGGCTTGTCAGATTGATACAAGCTTGGGTAGATGAATTTATAAACTGCAGTAATAAGATTTTAATATCAAGTAATAATTGGTAATAACCAATCAAAAAAACATCTAGCAACAAAGAAAAAGCTTCTATTGCCCATTCTGCCACATGTTCAACATGATCTAGTTTAAGGCTGCAACTGTATCCTACTCACCAGCTTCCACATATTCATTAATTTCGTGTCTTTTATCGAGGCTTTACTTTGATAGAAAAAGCACAGATTGGCGAATTAAGCCTACTTGGGTTCAAACCTGGCTTTTGCCACTTACAAATACTTGTTTCATGTTAAGCCCCAGTTTAATGTAAGGAAAAGAGTTGACTGTTGGTTGAGCAATGTAAAGAAACATACAGTCAGTGCCTAAAAAAGTATCTGATACACAGCAGGCACTCTGTAAATACATGGCAAACACTAGTGTTCTTACCAGACAGGTAAACCTGCCTCACCTCGGTCTCCTCTGGACCAAAGTCAGCAGGTGTTGATTCCTGGAGCAAGTAGTATTTCACAATTCAAATATAGATGATAATCTGTTGGCTGCATACTGTATAGGTAGAGAATTTTTACCTGAGAAAGCTAACTTCTAACTTTCTAATCGAGTCTTGTACCAGCTGCAAAGTTGTAACCAATTGTTATTATATGTTATGCTTTATGGACAGCCTTGTTTTTAATTATGATGTTTTTATTGGAGACACAGGTTTCGGGGTAAGTTTGCCATCCAACTTGCCAGTACTTGTTACAAGTTTTTATAGTGTGATTTATTTGTATATGTCTCTGTATGTTTGAATGCTATTATTAAATTTTGCTGGCATAAAGTGAAGGATTTATGGTTCTCATCTGTGCATATATACTCCTCCCCCACCACCTGCTCTATCTGTCCATTTATCAAGGGGCTAGGTGTACCTACTTATACACGTGAAATAGAAGCAAACACCCCTGCAAAAGTGAAAATCTATGAGGTAGTAGAGTGAATAAAAAATGAAGAGGAAATCAGTAAGACAATGTAAAAAGTGGATGTGATTTTCTCAGGTCCCAAGTTTTTAATTTTGAAGAGGGTAAACCTGTAGGAAAAATCATCTTGACATCCAAGCAAACACATGGTATGGATAGCTCAGTGTCATAAATTGATTACAGAGAAAAAGAGAGGAAGAAAATGAGTTCACAAAGCTCTTCAAAAGAATAAAGACACTCTCCAAAACAGAAAAATGAAAACGCAAAGTGGTTTAGACAGCAATGGAGCAACTCTGTGATGATTCAAGAATACCAGCAGACAAGCCTTTGTTGAGCACTGCCTAAATGTGCACCTCTTACACATTAAGCCCTGGGCGGGGCATTGCTGATATAAAGTATAAATGATTGGCTCACACCTGTAATCCTAGCACTGTAGGAGGCCAAGGTGAGAAAACTGCTTGAGCTCAGGAGTTCCAAACCAACCTGAGCAAGAGCAAGACCCCATCTACACTAAAAATTAAATAATTAGCTCGGTTTGTGGTGGGCACCTGTAGTCCCAGCTAGTTGGGAGGCTGAGGCAAGAGGATCACTTGAGCTCAAGAGTTTGAGGTTGCTGTGAGCTGTGATGATGCCATGGCACCATACCCAGGGCAACAGAGTAAGACTCTATCTCAAAAACAAAAAAGTATAAATGATAACATTTTGTAGATGTGCGTGTTTTCTTGTGTTGCTATTGACTTTGTTTCCAACTGCCTTATTAATTAAAAGTACAGGGAACAGAGAAGAAATGGGAGAATAAGAAAGAAAGAAAAGGTGTCCATTATTAGATATTACAATTCTATTAGAACTCTAAGCCCTCAGGGCCTATAGCCATAAGATTCCACCTCCATTGAATCATTTCTGGAAATGACTCGTGGACTTGTGTTACACAGCAGAATAACAAATTACTCCCTCCCCACCAAGAAAACTCATAGCTTAAAATACCTGTGGAGAAGAGATCTAGGACAGCTTAGCTGTGTCCTCTGCTTCACGGCCTCTCACAAGGCTGTAGTCGAGGTGTCCACCAAGGGAAGAATCTGCTTTCAAGCTAACACACAATTGTTGACAGGATTCTTTTCCCCGAGGAATAGTGGATTAAGGACTTCAGTTCACTTGCTGTTTGCCATTGGTCAGAGGCTGCCTTAGGTCCCTTCCTCCTGAACCTCTCTTCTGTGGCAGCTTGCATCATCAAAGTCAGCAGGAGAGAAGGTCCTCTAAAAGATAGAAGTCACAATCTTTTGCAAAATGATGTCTCACAAGGTTGCCATATTCTATTTATTTTAAGAGCGTGAGTACCAGGACCAATTCTGACAATTTACAGATGATAGTTTTATCCATGCAACTGATCCTCTCATCTTTGAAATCAGGGTCACTATGCCTTCCCTGTTTGCCTCATATAACTATTATGAGGACCGAGGGGGATAAGGTATATCATGGTTTTCCAAACACTAGAGGTACTTGAGATGATTAGGGGTGGCATGTGAACTACAGGTGGAACTTTTTAAGGTATTTGTTTTAGAGTGCATTAGAAAACTATAACTGGTGTAGCAAACACGTGATTTTACAGATTATATTGTTTAAATGAAGTTAAGTGAATATGGTGAATACGGCAAGCATTGGAAAGGTGATACACAAACGATTGCACAAAATATAAAATGCTTCACAAATACAGTGAATTCTGTTTATTAATTTATGTTCTATAATGATGATTTAAGAAATTAATTAGAATTTTATTATCTCATGCCTTAGATTTAAATATTTTATCCATCTTGAATCAATTTTAGAAAAAAAATCAATTTATCATAAGGACATTTACACTAGATTGTTTATTGTGCAGTTCAATTTACAATCGCCAAGACGAGGAGATAACCTAAATGCCCATCAACTCAGGAATGGATCAACAAATGTTGATATATGCATGCCATGGAATATTATTCAGTCATAAAAAAGATGGTGACTTCACATCTTTGTATATCCTAGATGGAGTTGAAACACATTCTTCTTAGAAAAGTATCACAAGAATGGAAAGGCAATTATCCAAGAGGGACTCTACCTAAAAAAATCAAATATTTTGACCTGATTGTTTGCACTCTCACATTAACCTGAAATAAATTTACTTTTCAATTAAAAAGAAAGAAATTAATTACACATATTCTTTGTTATCAAAATATCAAATCCCAATTATTTGCTCAAACAAATGACCACTTAAAATCCAACTCTGAAGTTTGACTGCAAGAATCTTCCTCCTCCTAAGACACTTATATCATTTGCTCTCTGATGCCTTTTCCTTTCCTAGAGCATACCATATGTGCACATACTATTTTAATTAATATTTACCCTATAAGAAAGACTGTATTATTGTATCTTGTAATGAGGGAACCAATTTTTTGTTTGTTTGTTTTTTGAGATAAGAGTTTCACTTTGTCACCCACAGTAGAGTGCTATGCCATCATAGCTCACAGCAACCTCAAATTCTTTGGCCCGAGTGATTCTCTTGCCTCAGCCTCCTGAGCAGCTGAGACTACAGGCTCCCAACATGATGCCTGGCTATTCTTTTAGGGACAAGGGTCTCACTCTTGCTCAGGCTGGTCTTGAACTTGTAAACCCAAACAATCCACCCACCTTGGCCTCACAGAGGGCTAGGATTACAGGTATGTGCCACTGCACCCAGCCTGAGGGAACTAAATCTTAAGGAGGATAAATCTTGTGGCAACAGTCACTCAGCTAGGAAGTAGTAGAGCTGGAATTTAAAATCAAGTCTACCTGACTCCAAAGCCAATTTAAATTCTACTCCTCTAATAAAATTGTAAAGACTTGAATTTCCTCTCATTATGCCCATCTTTTTCCACTTCTTACACTTTTACATGTGGCACTGTAATATTTTTCTGCCTGGAATGCAGGAAAATACATCAATACCAGGGCATTAAAAACAAATTCAGAGAATGAACCATCTATTGCCAAATAGCCAGACAGAAGTGCTAACTCTTCTACCAAGAGAAGCAACTACTTCCTAGCCCACAAATCTTCTACCCCACTCAGCCCCAAGGGCAGAGGAGCGAACAGCCCGGGTTCTACCTTTCACAAACCAACACGAAGATGAATGGGCCAGAGTGGGAATAGTGGGGAATGAGGAAATAATACACACAAGAGTAAAGACAAAGATGGGATTGGCAAGGCTGGAGCAGCTAAGACTGTGGAAGCAGCTTTATTTATATAGTACCTTTAACAGGGTTACTAAGTGATATAAATCTTGGCACATGAGGTAAAGATTAATTTTAGAGGGGAAAAGCTGTGCTTGCCCACAAGATAAAAATGAAAAATATGCAGGGGCTACATGACTTCTGGCAGAGGAGAAAAGAGTGTTCGTTGTTAAAGGAGGAGAAGTAGGTGGGGGTTGTTCCCTGAGCATCTCCCCAGGGTGTGTGGGCCTTGCCGCCTCACAGCCCTACTCCACGTCTTCCCAGGCTAGGGTGATGGCTACATTTTTAACTGCTTCCCTATAGGACCCCCACGCCAAGGGGTGGGAGGTGTCTACAAGCAAAGGAGAAGTAGGCTCCAAACACTTAGTGAGCTGTTTAACTGCAAAGAAGTCGTCCCTCAAAAAAAGATGGCATCTCCCTTTTGTTTTTCTCAGTATGACATGTCAGTTTTAACTAAAACCAGATATTCTAAGTGGTAAGGATAACTGAAATGTGATTAATTCTCCTTCAAGGAGAACTTTGAGCTTTATGTTTTTAGATCTAGAAAAACAGACTTTAAAATCTATTTCAGGCTCAGCGCCTGTAGCTCAAGCAGCTATGGCACCAGCCACATACACCAGAGCTGGCAGTGTATGTATGTGTACACCAGAATCCAGCCCAGGGCTGCCAAACAACAATGACAACTACAACCAAAAAATAGCTGGGCAGTGTGGTGGGCACCTGTAGTCCCAGCTACTTGGGAGGCTGAGACAAGAGAATTGCTTAAGCCCAGGAGTTGGAGGTTGCTTTAGCTGTGATGCCAGAGCACTCTACCCAAGGCAACAGCTTGAGGCTCTGTCTCCAAAAAAAAAAAAACAATTATTTCAATAAAACCTGATTACTAAAGTTATAGCTTACCAACCAGTGAAAATTAGAGTCCCACAGATGGAATGATCCATATAGGAAATATTACTTTCTATACCTAAAATTATCTACTATCCATTTTGTAGCAGAAAGCAAGATAGATGGGATGAATAATAGCACAAGAAAGTGAGAAGAATCAGCAACAAGCAAGGGTGTACTTTATACTTTACTAAACAGTGGAATTAGAATGTTTCTAAAACAAAAAAGAATTATAAATATCTTAGCTAACGTATAGCCCATTTACTTTGATTTGATTATTTCATATTGTAGGCCTTTATCTCTTGTACCCTATAAATATATATACAAGTATGTGTCCAGTAATTAATTAAAACTTTTTAAAAAAACAGAAAGCAAGTTTTTTCCTTATTTGAATTGTGTAAAATTATAATAATGTCACAATACTCAGACCTTACTGACTACAAACACAATAAACTGTCAGAGTAAATACATGAAAATGGAAAATTGTGAGAAAATATGTGGTAACAGGCAGCAGCAGGTGTAGGCCTCAGGAGTACAAACCACACGGACGACCACAGAGCGAGCCATGCAGGCTAGATCTGAGACCAGGTGGGAAGACCTGAGGAACACCACCACAGCATGGCCACTAACATTCTCTCTCGTTTGCACTAAGTTTTGTTTTTGAAACTTTTGCTTTAAGTCTGCCAGGATTTTTCTGATATGGCAATCACTTTGCAATCAGTTTATGATTATTGAGATAATAGTTTCATTACTGATTCATTCATATACAAAAATTATTTTAAATATCTTTCTATATTGTGGATATTGATTTCTCATAAGCCAAGCCTTATATACTTTAGGATTTAGTATACCTATGAAACTTGTTCAATAAAAAGTAACCTCTTTTATTTTAAGGTTATTTCACACTTCCATAATGTGATTAACCTTACAAACAGAAACTGCCATTCCTGCTATAATGTAAGTGTCATGAGGACAGGGATCTTTGACTATTTTGTCATTGATGTATTTGAATACCTAAAAAAATGCCTAGAACATAATGAAAACTCAGTAAATATTTGTCAGATGGCTACTAGATAACTTGAATAAATCCGACATAATTCAGACATAATTGTATCACAAAAAGAGCAACCATGGAAAAAGGATTCTTCAGTCAGAAAATACATTATTTTTAGGGGATTTTGTTTTTTTAAACAGTGTCTCACATAGTTTAGAATTAGATTTTTTTTTTTTAAGACAGAGTCTTGTTCTGTTGCCCTGGGTAGAGCACTGTGGCACAATACTACATAGCAACCTCAAACTCCAGGGCTCAAGCAATCCTCTTGCCTCAGCCTCCTAAGTAGCTGGGACTACAGGTGTGTGCCACGATGCCTGACTAGTTTTTTATTTGTTTGTTTGTTTGTTTGTTTGTTTCCATTTTCAGTAAAGATGGGGGTTTCACTTTTTCTCAGACTGGTCTTGAACTCCTGAACTTGAGCAATCCATCTGCCTCGGCCTTCCAGAGTGCTAGAATTACAAGTGTGAGCCACCGGGTCCCCCCCTACCCTGCCTCAAGGTGCAAGCTGATTTTCTAATGCTAATATTGTTACTCACTTTTTTCATTTGGTAAGACTGAATAAAGAAAGAAATTTTCAAGAGACTCTTATCAGCTTGTGGGGTAAATACCTTCTTCTAGCATTTTTCTGGGTCTTTTTTCCAGTTCTCTAAAATTTTTTCAATAAATTCTTCTAAGTTTGAATGTGCATTGTATTTATTCTTCAGAACTGGTCCCTATATATAAGTAATCCAGGAAAAGTTGGACTTACAATTTTTAAAATAAAAACAATGTAATGTTTAAAATTTAACAATGTAAATAAATATAAAAGTTGTTTTCAAAATGGTTAAGGAGAGAGAAGAGGTGGCATCAACATATATTATCAATTATTTTTTGTCACAAAGGTCTTGCAATTAATTCCTAGGATTGAATACTATTGCTTATACTGTCTTACTCTTTTTCTGAAAAAAAACTAATTCTTCTGAATAAACTAATCTTCTACACCAAAACTTCTGCATTTGAGAATAGAGAAAATTCATTACTGTAAACTAATCTAAGTTAGAAAAATACACTCCCATATCCCTCTCTGAGATTTAGACTC